AAAAAAAAAAAAAGTGAAAACAAATGCATGACTTTCACAATGTTATGTCATATTTTTTCTAGGAGAAAAATAACTAAAAACGTTTAACAATGCTAACATTTAACACTATTATTTCAAAATCTGAACTTCTGTTCATTCATTCATTTTTTTCTATAAATAGTGACCATCTACTTGGTGTTAGATATTTAATGCTGGGATTCCAGAGATAAAAGACCTAGTTCCTGACATCAAAGTGCTCACTATTTATCAAACTTGGTTTACACAAATGTCTGGAGAACGAAAACAGGGCAACTTACAGAGAACACTTGAAATTTCACAATAAACATTACCATCTTTGACAAAGATCAATTTTATTTCAGAACAAATAAAATTAAAATGTTTTTATATTAGGTCAAGTATCCTCTTTCTATGGAATCAAATGTAAATTTTATATAAATTTTAAGGCTAAGATACTAGATGCGATATTAATGTAAAATTTCAGACACACTGTATACAAGTCTAATACAATTTCTTCTGCCACTGGATGTGGAAAAGTTTGAGAGGCTGTGTAAACGTACTGTAATAAGAACACTAACAAAAGTATACACAGGATATTATGAGAATATGCACAGAAGAAAGCTACCTGACCTGGCTCCCTCTTTCCTTCAAAAGAACTTTTTTTTAAGTTTATTGATTTATTTTGAGAGAGACAGAGACAATGTGTGTAGGGCGAGGGCTACAGAGCCTGACGCACGGCTTGAACCCATGAAACTGTGAGATCATGATCTGAGCTGAAACCAAGAGTCAGATGCTTAACCGACTGAGCCACCCAGATGCCCCTTCCCTTCAAATTTAAAGGGCAGGTATGTATATATTAAGTTCTCAGAGATGAGGCTATTTGGTTTTAAAAAAATATTTATTTATTTTGAGAGAGAGAGTGAGAAAGAGAGCAAGTGAGAGACAGTGGTGAGGGGCAGGAAAAGAGGGAGAGAGAGAATTCTAAGCAGGCTCCATGCTGTTAGCGCAGAACCTGATTCAGGGCTCAAACTCACAAACCATGGCTTGAACTCACAAATTGTGAGATCATGACCTAAGCCGAAATCAAGAGTCAGATGCTCAACTGACTAAGCCACCCAGGCACCTTGAGACTGTTTTTTTTTTTTCTCCAGCTAATAAAATGTTTTTAGTCACTCTGTAGCATTTTAAGAAAATTAAGAAATACATATTAACATGGCTAATTCTGAACACTGTACTGAAAGTGGAAGAATGCAATTAAAGAAGATAAAGAAATTGGAGACATATAACCTGTGAAAGAGTGGGTCAAACATTACTCCTCTCACATGTTCTGTCTGATTCTACACCCAGAAAATCAAACAAAATATGCAAGAAAATATAATTCATTAAGGTAACAGCGTACAAAATTAATATACAGACATTATTAGGTGCCATACACATCGGTAACAGAGGGTGAGACTTTTGAGTTCAGTCTTTTTTTTTTAAATTTAATTTATTTTTTTTTAATGTTTATTTATTTTAGAGACAGAGAGAGACAGAGCGTGAACGGGGGAGGGTCAGAGAGAGAGGGAGACACAGAATCTG